TAAGGAGCTGGTATTTTTCGGGTAGTTTTAAATTGTAATTTCACCATTTGTAATCATGGGATATTGTGGTTTGCAGGTTGCACAAACCAGCCTGTCAGGACATCGAGTCCACAGTAAAAGGACCGGAGCAAGCGTTCGTTCCTGGGGCGTTGTGCATCCACCCCCTGCAACACATACTCTCCACAGCTTTATCAGGAACCGTATTACTTCTCTCTCGCACCCCCCTTCCGCTGCTCTCTCTCTCTCTCTCTCTCCCCTCCGGTATACGGCACCGTAAGACATAGTGTGGAGTTGCATTAGGTAACGCTGTGGTGGCTGTACTGCTCCAGCCGTCTCCTTTGTGTTTGTTTGTTTCCCCCTGTCTGTGTTGTTTGTGTGTGGGTGGTGGCTGTCACTCCTGGCTCCCGGCTCAACTTCCACTCACTTGCTGCAATCAGCTGTGCACCCTCCCCGACTACACACCTGCTTTCCATCAAGCCATTTACAACGACATATCAACGGAGGCTCCACAACCTTTCTCCGCCAGAACGTCAAGTATCAGCCGTATCTCGCGTCTCCCCTCCGGTACACAGCACCGTAGTGTGGATTTGCATTAGGTAACGCGAGATACGGCTGATACTTGCGCATTAGTTTCTGTTAAGGATCAGTATCAACAGTCCTGCCAGTAACGTTACTATATTATCAATGCTACTTTAGTTATAGCCTGATATATGATAGCTAACTTCACAATGTTGTGATGTGACGTTAGCTAACATTCTGTAGCTAACGCGGGTCACTCACCAAGATAGCTGCCCAGTTCTCCACTGGTTCTCCTCACACCACAGCTCAATTTCTCTCCGATGGCCGTTATTTCTTCTAATTCTTGGCTGCTCCTGGTCTCTTGGATGCCTAGCAGGCTCATAATTATAAGGTTGTGGTCCGTCATATGCATTTGAATATTCATGTTCAACTTCTTCTGTGTCGAAACTAGCATTGGCATCCATGTTTATTAATACGTTACACCGGTCGCTCTCCCCCTTGTTTCCCCCATGTTACGTCACACGCGGGAGGTCACATGCCGAGGCTTTTTTATGCTGAAGTGAACATTTCTTACAAAAACGACGCCAGATGTCACTGTAGTGTATATTTCTGTATATTTTTTTGAAAATCTAGTGTATTCATCATTTTCCTACACATTTATTCACAGGCGTCTTTAACCTGGAAGTTGCTCTTTAAATAAAACATTTTGTTGTCCTTTGTAATTGGCTTATTTTCTTTTGGGATTTTACCGTGTCGATGGAAAACCATTAGTTACCTACAGTAGGATGCTGAGAAGAAAAAAACTGTGTACCTACCAGTTACAACAAATTTGGCATTGACTTTGAACCAATGTATTGGTTTTATGACTAGGTCAACCACATCTAAAACTTCTAACATTCCAAAAATGTCCAATTTCTATCATTCATTTAAACTCATATGGTATAAATATAAAGTGCTGAAGAAATCGATCAGTTAGTTAATTGAAGTGAGATCTATAACCTGTCCTCTCCTTCCCTCTGTGCTGCAGATCAGATCAGAGGACGGTATTCCCCTTTCAGGTGTCCTCCTGTCTCTGAGTGGGGGACAGTTTCGCTCCAACCTGCTGACTCAGGACACCGGCCTGCTCACCTTCAATAACCTGGTAGGGATCCAGCAGTGTGTTAATCTGCTCTCACAGTCTGCTAGTTGACGGGATCTCTATCTAATCTGTTTATTTTTCTGCTTCCCTCTCCTCAGAGTCCCGGTCAGTACTACTTCAAGCCCATGATGAAGGAGTTCCGCTTTGAGCCGGCGTCTCAGATGATCGCAGTGGAGGAGGGTCAGAACCTCAGTATTGATATCACTGGCATCAAGACTGCTTACAGGTATGCACATGTGCCTCGATGCTGTTTATAATAGGAGCCTAACATGTCCACAGCATAAGTCTAATGAGTGTTTATACGTCCTCAGCTGCTACGGAGCCGTGCAGTCTCTGAGCGGGGACGCAGAGAGAGACGTTGCCGTGGAGGCGGTGGGACAGGCAGACTGTAGCATCTACAGCGAGGACACCGTCACCGATCAAGAGGGGCGCTTCAGACTCAGGGGTCTGCTGGTAAGTACGAAATGAACACACTTAGGTTCTCAAAAAGTGAGCTAATCTTGTTAACACAATGTGTATGCCCCATTTGAGCAGGTGTAACTGACTGATTTAATGTCTGAAATGCTGTACAGATGCTATTTCTTTCAAGCCTTTTCACTGTGTTCTAACTATAATGTTTTGTTTCTTTCAGCCGGGTTGCAAATATCTCATTCAGCTGCGAGCTGAAGGCAACGACCACATAGAGAGGGCCTTACCACAATACAGAGCAGTAGAGGTGAGAGGCTAAAGTGTTAAAGGCTTGTAAGCACAACTGTTTGTAATACTCAATAATTTGTATTTACCATCCCAAGGTACACAGTAGAAATAATCTGGTCAGGATACAATAATGGGTCATTGGTGATGTTCAGGAGCTCATTAACAGCTGCAAACAGTTTTTTTGTACGTTTTTTTAAATGTTTAGAATCACTGATTCATGGAAAAATAATGTTTTGTGTTCTTGCAATAACTGACGGCTTTAGGGTAGTTGAAATAAACTGCATTTTTTGGATTAGTTGTACTTGAAACTGAGTGGAAAACATGGGGCTTTATTTTTGTGTTTCTTGCAGTAAACCCGCTGCAAGTTTAAACCTCTCTTTATAATTTTAGTTTGTCAGAAGTTCACGCTCCGTAATCGCTCTGGCAAGGCAGGAAATGCCTTAGTTCCATTTAATTCTCTATTATTATCAAACCTTGTGACTTGTGCTAAGTTTTATCCACAGTTAACATTTGGCATTTTCTAAGGTTGTATCTGATCTAAGCTCTGTTTCCCCCTCAGGTCGGCAGCAATGACATTGAAGGGGTCAACATCATCGCCTTCAGACAAATCAATCAGTTTGACCTCAGTGGAAACGTCCACACGTCCCCTGAACACCTCGCAACACTATCGGTAGCACTGCTGGGCTTATCTTCTCAATAGGCGCTTTCACACCGGAGCACTTTGACCCGTACTTTTCCCGTTTAGTTCCGATAGTGCCTTGAATTTTGCGTTCACACCAAAAAGAGAACTTAGTTCAGAGAACTTTTACCCCCATTTGTAGTGCCTGCTAGAGAGGTGGNACACACACACACACACACACACACACACCACACACACACACACACACACACACACACACACACTGACTAATAAGCGCCTCTTCTGTGTTTCAGACTCTGACAGGTCAGAGTCTGAAACACAGAAGAGGCGCTTATTAGTCAGTGTGTGTGTGTGTGTGTGTGTGTGTGTGTGTGTGGTGTGTGTGTGTGTGTGTGTGTGTGTGTGTGTGTGTGTGTTCAGTATGTTGTATAAGGGTGTAATATTAACTAGAACACATGAAAGGAAACTGCTTTTTGACACAAATGATTTCTCATTTGTCTCATGATTGAAATAAGATGATTGAATACGTGTAAGTAAAGTGTCACTGTTACTCATGTCATGGATCATGTATATGGTTTGGTGTGTGTTACCTGAACTGTCCCCTGGATACTCAGCCCCAGGCTTCTCCTCCTCTGCTGCTTTAGACATCCTGATATCTGTAAGAAACACACACACACACATCAGTTAGGGTCACTGTGAATACAGAGAGGTACATAAGGCGAAGCTACAGTACGTGGTAAGAAAAGCAAACATTGTTGCTTCAAATTCTTGGCCGACGGGGGAGAAAATGATATTATCTGCGACATGTCTGCAACATTTGATCACTGTATGTCACAAACTGCGAGCGAAGACAGAAAGACACACAACCTTTTTTTATGCAAATCATAATTTGCATACAAATATTCCAAGGCATTTGTGGACACACTGTTTGCTGTTTATGCACATTTAAATGGTGGGATTTTTCTAGTTTCAGCCTAAAAATCTACTGATATTTGAGTTTTAACATTTTGGCCAAATGTATAAATAATAGGTGTAAAAAGAAAATCAATAAACATCCAGTGTAGAAAAACACACACTTTACACATCTTCAAATTTTCTTTGTGTGTTAACCTTGTCCTTGCACTCATCTGCTGCTTCTTCTCTCTTTCGCCATTCAGATTCACAAACAAAGGAATAAAACAGCCTCTGCTCTCTGAATGAGAGGTCAGTCCTACAGTAGGCCTCTTTCACTTCAATTCAAACTGAGATTAACGCTGTCAGGAAGTCAAAGGAATAGGTATACAAATTCTGGTATAAAAGCAACAAATAATTCTAAGAACTAATTCTTTTTTAAAAGAGGGCTGACTCACTGTCACTGTATTATTCACAACAAGAAGTGGAAAGGATTTCACTTTTGACCTGTGATACATTTCACTCCAGTGCTGGCGATGAAACCCTTTTAGATTGGCTAAATCAAATCAGAAATGCATCACTTTTAAGATAAAGCCAATATATATTTTTTAAGTTTCTAAAAATACAAGTTGCGAAGGTGCGTAATATTTTTTGAACTCTCTTTTTTACTCATTAAATGCGACCTGGAAGTAGCTAAGAGAAAAGTGATGGTACCTTCCCATAGCTCTTTAAATGTAAACTTTATTGACCCGGGATGTGAGCATGGGATTAAGAATCAGCTTTTCTTTGGCAGACATCATGCTAACTACCACCGCTTTTCTTTGTGTTAGTGGAGACTTCTGGGATGTAGCAGTAATTGGTGGAGGAAGAACGCACCAGAGGAACTGCTTACCTGAGCACCAGACATTACTCAGCACTACTGCCGCCGCCATCTTGGATAAAACTGTCCTTTAGGACTAGTATGCTCTTAATTTCTGTAGCTCATTTTACGGCTTCAGCTTTAATCTTTTGTGAGGAACGGCCAGTTCAGCCAAAGCTCAAAATATGAGCTCTGTGTGAATTAGAGTATGTGTTCTGATGGCAGGTTCTCCGTTTTTTTAAAAGATGTGCGAAAATAATCAAAGTACACATGATAAACCACGGCTCAGATCCTCCATCCTTCCTCTGTTCTTCCTCACTATAATTACAGCCATATAGAGGACACACACACACGGAAATAATGAATACTTGAAAAAAATTAATTAAAGGGCTTATTGCAAATGATATATAAGCCTGGTGTGAGTGTGTGTGTGTGTGTGTGTGTGTGTGTGTGTGTGTGTGTGTGTGTGTGTGTGTGTGTGTGTGTGTGTGTGTGTGTGTGTGTGTGTGTGTGTGTGGTAATCTTATCATCAGGGTCACAGGCAAGTTCAAGGTGTGATGCAAGGAAGTGGAAGGAGGGATGGAGGGGGATAAAGGTGTAGGAGAAAGAAAGACAAATAGATGGAGCCATGTATGGTTGCATTTAAAATCCAAAGAAAAAAAGGGAAATATTAAATATAAATAAGGTGGAAACAAAGGTTAAAAAGACAAGACAAATATATAATATTTGTGCACTGAAAAGAGATGCAAAGTTTATATTTTCTTTATATCCATGCGCAAAAATCTCAACATAGGTGGTCCTTTCGCAAACATTTGGTATATAAAAGGATATAAGATTGTTTGTTGGTCAGTGTTTTGTGTTATTTGTCAAAAGCCTCCATCAAAGAACATAATGTAAACATTTTTAAAACTTTTACATGTCAAATGTATCAAATTGAAACCCCCTGCATTATTGTAAAGAAAAGGAAACCCAGCACTGACTGAGGTCTGTTAGTGGAGCGTTGCAGTTACACAAAACCACCACATGGGGGCAGCACTCTCCTGGAAATGCTGAATGCGTTGTACGGAGAACCCGGGAGAACCTTAATCGGTCTTTTGAATCCTTTAAGTAACCTGTCATTCACAATGACACACGTTGAGGAGTAGTATACTGCAGTCACATAATAGAGACTTTAAGTTGACCTAAATTAAATGCATTTAAAGTTGCATTATTCGATACTCATTGGTTTTCTTTTACCTTCAGCTACATCTTTTTTTTTTTTTAAAGTTATATATACTAGCAACAAATCACCACGAAAATACAAGGCAATGTATTAAACGTATACAGTTAGGCTACTCAGTTTCCTCTATAAGCTGTATTTTACAGAGACAGAGGTACTGGACTTATAGTTCTTATGAACCAGTATCTGTTGTATTGTTTAGTTAAAATACTTCTAATATTGATTCACTGCTACACAAGATCTATGTATTACTGCTGCTTCTACTTAGAGCTTCTTTTACAGGTACTGATATATTGCTGATACATCTGTTAGAATTATTACTACTAAGCCCAGCTGGGTTTATATATCTTCAGACAAGTTGGATTTAAGACTTTGAAGTCGTTTTCAATGCCACTCAGAATGAAATGTAGGTCTAAGACTTTGAAATAATCGAGATGAACGAAAGAACATCAATGATTTTGGTTTAGGGAAAATGTTGCTAAAATGACGATTGCATCATAAAAAGTCTTGTGTCTTCACTAGCTAGCAGACTGAGAGAAAACAAGATATGACTTCTGTTATCTCTGCTATTGTGATTCGCTTAATGCAACCACATTCAGTCAATTATAAAAAAAACGAGTTTTTATTTATCTAGAGATATATAATAAAATAACTACAAATAAAGTCCTTCCTCCCACGTCTTAGCATCTTTAAGACTTTTGAATGATTGATTTAAGACATTTCACTACCAATTCAGGCCATATTTTTATCTTTAAAGGCGTTTCTGTAAACACATACACATGAAAAACTGAACAAAATTCAGACTTAAGAAACACAATTTACTAAAATGTTGCATCCATTTCATTTCAACACCGGGTTGGATATAATACACTCCATTTCAAAGACACACACACATGTGCACACACACACACACACACACACACACACACACACACACACACACACACACACACACACACACACACACACACACACACACACACACACACACACACACACACACATTACTATTCCCTGCTCCTTTATCCTTTCAGCATATGAAGAGAGGGATCCCATAAAATTATTTTAACACCCCCCCTCCATCTTTCCCTGCCCTAACCCCTCTGGCCATGGGGCCTTTCAACCCCCACCACCTCATATATGCTAACAAATCAAACACACTGAATCCCCAAATGTCCCAGATGTCCAGTACGCATGAAGTCATATTTTTCTTTCATCAGGACTAAACAGAAAATAAGACTTTTCTCTACTAAATCTACAAATGTACAAGTTTTTTATTTTGAAAATGTTCTTTATTTAGATTTGAGTGAAAAATGTCCCTCTGAGGTGCAGTGACCACCGTCCTGACACACTTCTCCACCCCGGGGCAGTTTGACAGCAGCCGCTCGGATGCAGCCCCCCCCCCCGTTCATGCTCATCCTATCAGTACTAATAGCATAGAGAGAGGAAGGGGAGAGGGGGAGAGGGCAGATGATGTATCTGTCTTCAGAGGTTGACATGGCCAGCCTGCGTGTGTGTTTGGTGTGTTAAAGGGGGAAAAAAGAGGGGGGTGCAGGGTCACTGTCAGGGAATTAGAAGGGGAATGGTGGAGGGGGGGGGGAATAGGATGGCTGGAGGGGTCCTAAACTCACCCCCTTTCTCCCCTCTTTTTTTGCCCACCCACCCCGCCTCGGTCACGCCTGTCAGGGGCCGGTGACAGACGGCGCGTGGGTTACTCTGTGTGTGTGTTTGAGGGAAAGGGGGGGTGTGCCGCTGTTTGGCGTGTGGATGTCAAAGGTCAGGCACATGGTCTCGTCCAGCTCGCGCCTCGCAGTGGCACACACACACACACACACACACACACACACACACACACACACACACACACACACACACAGCCTCTCCCACCTGTCCCTTGTCACATTCACTAAACAAACACACGCGGAGCTGCAACTGCTGTAATGGGAAGATATTTGAAAACAGCTGTGAAATTATGTAAAATATGCGGTAAAGAAGTATTTATAGTCACAAAGGAAAGGGAAACTGCTATTTTTTACCAGTTATCAAAATTATAGAAATATTTATTTTGTTGAATTTGTTCAGCTTATAATATTTTAGAAATTATAT